ATAAGGGAGAATAAATGCAACCTTATCTTAACCCCATGTTAGAAGAAAACTAGTTTCAAGTGCCCCATCAATGAAAATTAAAAACTTAACACGAGTAACACATGCTTAAATTTATGCAATAAATCAAAAAAGATGCCCCTTCTTATACAATCTGCCAATGATACATGCATGGTTCACTAAGTCAAAAGTCTTTTCCACATTCACTTTGGCACAAAGATAGAAATGATAATGAGTCGAGAACTTCATAATGATAATAATATTATCAAAAGCATGTTTATTCGAGATGAAATTGGCTAAACAACATGAATAATATAATGCATAACAAGCTTGAGACGATTAAGTAAAATTTTAACCATAATTTTATATAAGACATTGCAACATGAGATTGACCTATAATTAGAGAGAATTAGAGAGAGAAGGAGACATTTTTGAGACATGAGTGATAGTTATAACATTAAGGGAGGTGGGATGATTTTTTAAGAGTAAGGAAAAATGATTTGCTTCACCGTTAAAGTCTTCACCAACTAATTCCAAAAAAGAGGAAAAGATTTCAAATTTGGAACAATTTGGAATTAGAGTAGAGTTCTTCGAAGAAGTGAAAACAATATTTTTAACTACATCAAAAGTGGTTGGAGCAATAAGAAAATAAGTTAAATAAGAATGCATAGCTTTACCAAGGGGAAGAGGTCTCAAGAGCTAGTAAATCAATACAATCTTGAAATATCCTTTTTAAATGATTAATAATAACTCTCACAATGCTATTGTAATCAGATAAAATACCAGCAAGTGTGACAATATTGTCAATAGAGATTTCTATCTCTCATTCTCTTAATTCTAATGAAAAGAAACTTAAGAGCTCCTCCCCATATTAAACTTCATTAATTCTAAATTTTAAAATTTCATTTAGGCGGGTAGATTACAAAAATAAAATAAAATAAAATAAAAAACTTTTTGCTTCTTGCTTACATCATCAATCCATCAATGGCCTCCTTGAGATATGCATATGAGCTATAGTTAAGGAGCTTCAATATATTCTTCATAGATTTCAACTTGTGAATCGAAGAAAAAAATGAGTCCTCATAGGATGACATAAATCACATTACTGTAAAAATAGAGTAAAAGCCAATCAACTATAACCATTGGTTATTAAACTAGAAGTGATGTTTGAGTGGAGGGGAGGAGGGCCATGTAATAATGAGGGGAGTGGTCTAAACAATGGGAGGGAGCACATTATTCCAGAGAGAATTAACCATAACCTTATCCTAATTATAGGAGATGGGGCATTTACTCTGGCATTCCACCAAGTATAAGACATATCTTCTTATGCAAGGTTCATGAGCCTAGATAGTAAAATGCAACATTTAAAATAGGTGAGTTTAAAAGGAGAAATGGATGTACCCCAATCATTGACAGAGGGTTGATGGGCACAAATTGTTGTCAAGGAAGTAAGAATTACAATCAATATAAGGATTGAGTTTCATTCATATTGGATTTTCAAACAATGATTTTTCAATTAAGATTCATATTAATTTCATCAAGCAAAGTGGCACCATTTTAGACTTAAATACACAACCTAGCAAAGATAAGATGTGATTTATTTGTAGTGAGAGCATCTCCTGCTAAGGGAATACCAATATTACTACAAATCTTAAAAATGTCATTAAAATCCTAGCAACATAAAAGGAGAATAAGAAGTTTAACCCAAAGGGGGATGGATGCGAATTCCTTGATCGGCTTGAAGCCAAGTCCATCTTTGAGCAATAAAAGGATTCCCAAAGAAGAATGAAGCCTCCACACTACACCCCCTCACACCCCCAAGCCAAACATACTGAAAATCCTTCGTTGAGGAAAATATAAGTAGGAATAACCAATCATTTAGAGAGAGGGGTTGGAGATTACCTTTCAAATCAAGGTTTTCTTGATAGCTTCTAGGAAATCCCCATAAAAAGCACATTTGCTAATAAAAAAAAATTAACAAGACATAGATCTCATTTCTTAGACCCATAAAAAAATTCATCCTAAATAGAGGAAGTGCTTTCCTCACAATAATGGACAAGTTTAAGGTTAAATTTAGAGGATGAGGGGCTATGAGAGGTGAAAAGGCTTCTCAATTTGAGGTTGAATGAGGCTGAAAAAAAAGGAGCAGGTTGGTTAGTAGAGTTAGACGATAAAGGGGGGAAGATATAGCAAAGGTCACAACAGACAAGCCCAGCAAAGGGGAAGGTGGGAGGCACTTTCAAAATCTTTCACCTAATAATATTATCCAAACAATAAAAAAAATATTGCCATTACATATTTAATATTTTTAATAATTAGTTTATGAAGAACTTTCTATACATATATTATATTTTTAATAATTAGTTTATGAAGAACTTTCTATCATATTAAATGTCATAATACATGAATGGTCTTGTCTTAACCATTCAATTCATTTTTATGGCAAAGCTCAATTATATATATATATATATATAGTTTTTCAAAATTAATTGCCTACCCAAATAGACTCGTCGCTAGCAGGATTTGAGTAGGATTTAAGCAGTAATCAACCTAAATTCTAAAATTTTAAAAATCTAATGATCAAATTGAACGAATGATATCAAACATTCTATTAGACATTCAATTTGACAATAAACTCAGCGAAATAATAAAAAAAAAAAATTATGATTCTAAACGTATTTTTTGAATTTAGCAATTCAAAAATTATGCCAAGATTCATATTTGATTGGATGGATTTTTCAATGGTATATTAATTATAATATATCTAAATAAAAAAAAATGCTATATCTCAAGAAAATAAAATGTTCTTAAAATGAAATGCATGATGAAAGAATCAAAGATTCATAGATCAGCGTGCCCATTTATATTTTATTATTCTTCATTTGAATAAATTAAGTTCATTTGCATGGTACGAATCGAACTCTGTCTGCCTTAAAAGGCAAAACTTGAATATTTACCAAAATAGCGGTTGAAGATTTGGTGACGTATGTTATCACTGATATGGACGGTTAGGATTCAAACTTAACGGCACTCACGAGTCTTTGACCGCACCTCCTGATTCAAATTCAAATACTAGGTTATCTTTACCGTTTGCCCGTTTCCATTTTAGATTGCAACGTTGGAAATTGAACGGTGTGCTAATGGCTCTTCGTTCTTTCTGTCTCTCTCTCAAGTAAGAAGGAGAAGCGGGGAGAAGGAAGAAGAAGGTAGAAGGCAAAGAAGGAAGAGCAGGAAGAATGGAGGAACCATCAAGACTCTCCTTTCGCAACGGCCGCTTGGCATCTAGAAAAGCTGAGGAAGCTGGTTGGCCCGCCTCTCTTTTTCCCTTCTTTTTGAATAACTGGCTTTGAAATCTTTGCTTGCCTGGTATCGGTAGGGTTTTCTTTTGATCGGTTCTATATCTTAGTTCAGCCGTTAGGGTTTTGATTAATCTTTGAAGCTAGGCTGTTGCCGAATCTTCTGATCTTCAGAATTGATTGTTTCTCTGTAGAAACCATGTTAGGGTTTCTGTTTATCTCGTTTCTTCTGAGAGATTTTATTCATCTTCTTTATCTTCTTTGTGGATTCTGGCAGCTGGCCGGCGATTCCAAGCTGCGGCATGGCTGGAGAAGATGGTGGGTCCTTTAGAGTTGTCTTCTCAGCCGTCGGAGCAAGAATTTGTGTCCTGTTTGAAGAACGGCCTGGTTCTCTGTAACGTCATTAATAAGATCCAGCCCGGTGCTGTTCCTAAGGTACGCTTCTTGGAAAAAATATTACATCTAGACTCCGGATGCATTCGGAGTCCAATGATGAGGCGCCACGTGTCAAGTGGGCCCCACCACAATACACGTGACCAGGGTTGAAAATGGGTGACCAGTGTTGAAAATGGTGGGGGCCACTTGACACGTGACATCCCACCATTGGACTTCGTATGCATCCATAGTCTAGATGAGTCCAGATATAATATTTTTTCCCGCTTTTTGAGCCACATCAATGATAGATTGAGACATGACAATGTTTGGCAAATTGAGTGGGGGATAAAAATGAGAATATTTAAATAAATTTGTGTCAAAATTTGAAATGATTATGGTTTAAGGAATTGTGTGTGAGAATGACTTCTATTTAATATAAGGTAATCTACAATTTTAGTTGATTTTTCATAAGTTGAATGGATAAAATTAATGTCGGCAGTGTTTGGGTAGTGCCTTTTAATTAGACGTATCACCGGATTTTGAAAATGCAAGAGTTTTGTAGATTTATGAGATTTCAAATTTATGGCGTTTGGTGGCACCTTCGAATAGGATTTGTCACTTGATTCATGAAATCCAGCCAAAAGCAAAAAATGCACGAGTTCTGCAAATTTATGAATTTTCAGATTCAAGGTCCCAAATTTTACCAATCAGGGGTTGCTAAAAATCCATAGAAATGATGGATTTAACGAATTTAAGATTTTTGTATTTACTGAATCCTACTGACGCTAAATCCTACTTGCAGCGAAACAACCCCCATTAAATTATTATAAAAAAAGATGTGCAGAATATAGAGACAAACAAACAAGGAAATTCATAAAAGAGACCACAAGTAGTTGGGTTAAACCTGACAAAGACTAATATGATACTTTCTTCTATGTTGATTTTTTGTTCATAAGGCATTGCCTTACTGATGCACATATTGAATTCTTGTAAGGTTGTCACAAACCAATCACTTGGTCTCACATGGGAGAATCAGACCCTACCTGCCTATCAATACTTTGAGAACATCCGCAACTTTCTTGTTGCTGTTGATGAGTTGAAGATTCCTAGTTTTGAAGCTTCGGACATTGAAAGAGTAAGAGTCTAAAACGAACCACTAAAACTAACTCTTGCTTGCTAATTTAGTACTCTTACTATTTGCTGTGATAGGATACTATGGAGGCTGGCTCAGTAGGAAGAATTGTTGATTGCATCCTAGGCTTGAAAGATTATCATGATTGGAAACAATTCAACAAGGGTAATAGCTCATGGAAATATGCAAAGTCCCCCATGGTTTCTCGCACTAAAGCCGGTATTCATTCGAGTGTGTCAGCTATAAGCTCCTCAGTCAGATGTTTAGACATGTCAGCAAAATCTGAGAAGAAGATTGATGATCAAGGGATTCAAGGTTTACATTTTTTTTAATTTTTATTTTCTGTTGAAGTGATGATTGAAAGGATAGGTAATTACTCTTAAAAAGTTTGGTTGATTGTTTGATGAAGTACTAAGTGCAAATAGAATTTTGCTAAGATAGAAAACCTTAAATTAGTTGGTTCATTTCTTTGGTTTAATTCCTTGTGTGCAAGAACAGCACCTGAATCATTTAATCGATATTGTTTTTTTTTTCCTTCTTTTTCCAGGCAAAGTGGATTCTCTTATACAAGCAATGGCTGATATCTTGTCCAGTTCAAAGGAAAATATTGATCAGAATATCTTTGATTCGTGGCTAAAAGGAACAGTGGTAACTGCTTGGAGATGTTAATCCTATACATTAGATGTTGTTTTGATGCATTCAAGTTCTATATTCATTCATGAACTTTCATTCAATTACAGGATCCTGTGAAGCTTTTTAACAGAATCATCTCAAGTTGCCTGCAAGAACAAAGGGTATACAGATACATAAAGTTTTAGTTCCCTAATGTAAAAAATTTGATCAAAATCTATCTTCCCTTCTAAGATTAGGCTTTAATATATTCTTGATTGCCGACTAGGATTACGACTCATAAAGGAACAATTGCAAGCATTTGAAGGGCTATTGATAGGAGGTTGATGTTGAAAAAAAAAACAATATTTCATGCCAATGCTTAGATTTTGTTATTGTTTGAATAAATTCAAGCACTCAATTCTGAAAACACAACATGCATAAAAAACAATTCCACCCAAAGCCTATTTCGTCCATGCTCTTAACATAAGTTTTATCACCATGTTTACATTTTAGTCCTTTTAGTTTGTGCCCATAGCAATGCTCTCTTTACGTTCACCCACATTACTAAAATTTATTTGGAAGAAAAGGGAGAATCAAATATATTATTTACATGATTGTGCGAATAAACTTTATTTTGTTGCTTTTTCAGGCTTGCCAATGTTTACTCTTATGTTTCACACGTTCTTCTGTATCACCAACTTATGCTCTACCATCAACAATCGGCATTAAACATCTATTAAATTTGCATGCTATATGTACAGTTAAACTTAGGTGAAGATTCTGTAGTGGAAAGAAATACAGCATTAGATGTTTGCAGCTTGAATAATTCCTGTAAGGTATAAAATACTTTTCCTCTTCATCAGCCTAAAATTCTCTCGAAAACTCAATAATATATCCATGGATGCATGATTGTCTTTGTGTTCTGCAAGAGAATTTGAAAAAAATAGTGATTTGATTAAGAATAAGTTGAAAAGTATATTAAATAAATACGCTGAAAAATCTATTGGTGATTTTAGTTATATAATATGCAGAATTGCAGCTTTTGCTTTGGGAAGACATCTTGCAACCACTTGCAGCTTTTGGAGTCCCAAGAAACTGAACTAGAGGTATTCTATTACCTACTCTTACATATAAACTACATGCACCAACCTATAACTTATTCATTTTCGACAATAGCAGAAAATTAGCTCACTGGAGGATGATTTGTTATGCTTCAAAAAATGCAAACTAATTTGCAACGATTTGTTATGCTTGGTTTGGGGTTCAAGTTCCGGCATTGTCAAAAAACACAAACTAATTTGCAATAATTGGCAGCGAAGGTTACTTGGTTGTTGTATATCCAACTTTCTCTATTAATGGCATATATCTTGATTCATACCAAATATAAGTTATAATGTTATTTGATTTTCAAACTACTTATCGTACCAAGGACAACTTTTGTAACCATGGATCTTAGCCCAATTTGGCTTTCGTTCGTCTGACCGTGTCGGCGCTTAAAAGGGGGAAAAGAGAGTTTTTTAAATGTTTGGGGGTCGCCCGTAAGTAGCTGTCGGTCGCCGGAATCGAAATCCCGTCGCCCGCTTCGGAAGGACTTTTTAATTTACATATATATATATATAATTTTAGAAAAATATGAAATCAAGGTGACCTCATATTTTCCATAGTTTAAATGAAAGAGCACTCAACCTCAAATCCTGTATCTACCCCAAGGGATAAACACAAGACTTGAGGGTGAGGCTCGATCAAATAAACTAAGAAAGATATGACATCCGTTTGGGTCTGCGAA